GAGGGTAGGAGGGAAAGAGGGGGGAGGAGGTTTCGTTTTCTCGTTCGCCGTTTCTGTCTAGTGGATCTCTTTTTGCTATAGCTGTGACATTGGGGCCTGGTGTAAAAACGTAGGCTGTTCTGAGCCAAAGAAAGAGAATGAAAATAGAAGTCTGAGCGTTTCGTTTGGGTGGGGTATGTGGCATCATTTTCGTGTCTTCGGCATCAGCAATTGGTTGTTTACTGGAGGTCTCCCTAGAGCGAGATCGGGCATGGCATTTGTCAATCTGGCTGCAAGACAAATGAGACTCAGTACAGTACTTCATCCCTGTGAATACAGGATTCAGTTTTCAAAGGAGGACATTAGGAAATTTTAGATCATTTCTCGATTTGTTCTTGTCAGCCTTGGGCAGGGGCCATGCTAATGTTCTGGGCATTTTACCAAGTCTTAATTGGGGTGCCCTGAAGGATCTGTTAATGAGCGTTGACGACCTGCAGATCTTAGCAGGAAAAGGCTCCAAGCAGTGTTTGTGCAAGGTACCAATGATTAGGAACTCAAATGAGCGTTAATGAGCGTTAATGAGCGTTAATGAGCGTTAATGAGCGTTGACAGAAATGAGGACTGTTAATGAGCGTTGACGACCTGCCGATCTGTTAATGAGCGTTGACGACCCGCAGATCTGTTAACGAGCGTTAACGACCTGCAGATCATTTCTCGCTAGTTTGCCTGCAATTTGGCGCAGTGTTTGTGCAAGGAACCAATGAATAGGAACTCAAATTTTTACGAGCTGCAAAAGGCTCAAAGCAGGAAAAGCGTATGTGAGCGAAGTGGGATGCAGAATTACAAAGCCGAGAGCACACCAGATTGGAACGCACTCAGGGCATAATACTCACACTAGCACTTTCCAAAATGCATCGGACTGCGATTACGACCAAACCTGGATGAATCTGGCTGCAATCACGTCCAGAGAGTCTTAATTGGGGTGCCCTGAAGGATCTGTTAATGAGCGTTGACGACCTGCAGATCTTACTGCAGATCGCTAGTTTGCCTGCAATTCGGTGCAGTGTTTGTGCAAGGAACCAATGAATAGGAACTCAACTTTTCCGAGCTGCAAAAGCCTCAAAGCAGGAAAAGCGTATGTGAGCGAAGTCGGAAGCAGAATTACAAAGCCGAGAGCACACCAGATTGGAACGCACTCAGTTCATAATACTCACACTACCGGTAGCACTTTCCAAATTGCATCTGAGTGCGATTACGACCAAACCTGGATGAATCTGGCTGCAATCACGTCCAGAGCTTTATACAAAAGCCCTAGTGTGAGCATGCCCTCAACATCGAAGTCTTCTGACAAAGAAAGCCCAACTTCTTGCCTCCGGTAATCATTAGAACAACAATGTAGCAGCTCTACTGCGATGCGACCAGCTATACTACTCTCCTACTCTCCCTGTACACCTCCTACTTCTCTCCCTCACACACTCTGTCTGTCCGTTATTCTCTCTCCCAGCAATGCTGCAAAGGCTATAACCACTGCAGGCGTGCTTCTTGGTCATCACCAGGTAAGTATCCCCCAGTCCACTGCTGTTCGTCTTCTCGATCTCCAGTCACAGCGCCACCCTTTTCCCTCGCCCACCGCAGCTATGGCAGCCGCTGGGCGGAGCAGCTTAACTTGGCTGCTCCTCACCTCCTTCCTTGAATGAGAGCTCATCGGCCCACCATGCGCTCTGACAGAGTTAGCGGTACAGGCCTGAAGCCTCACATCTGCGAGGATAGTATTATACTGTAATAGTACCTGCAACTAACATGCCTGCAGATCTGTGCAGTGTTTAGTGTTTGGGAGGAGGATGTTCCCAGCAGATCTGAGCTGAGTTTTCAGAGGATGATGTTGCCTGCAAATCTGTGCAGTGTTTTCGAGAGGATAACCTTGCTGGCAATTAACATTGCAAATCTGATGATGATGAGTAACTGCTTGAGAGGATAATGTTCTGTTATGAGTTGGGTGACTTGGGTTCTCCCTTAAACAGTGAACAGGCGTTGTTAGTGGACAAAGGAAGGAAATAAGTGCTGAAGAGGAACAGGACGATCACAAAAGGGGTGTGGAGGAGGATGCCACATGAAGTCTTGCACCATGATCCAGGTTGGACAATGCGGCAGTCAGATCGCCGAGACACTCTGGGAGGCTTCGCATAGGACGAACAGTCTTGTTCTTGCTGTGGGTGATTGAACGAGACGAGAGAACTGATAAAAAAAACATGCCTGTGGTACTCGACTCCTCTCGGAACCCTAACGAGATATGGCTCTCTACTCTACTTATTTTGTAGCCCCAGTCGTTGCTGTCATTCCCTTTGGAGCCTTGCACGCTGAAGGAAAACTCTCTTGCAATTACCAAGACATGATGAAACGCGATGATCATGGCAGGGGGGGGGTAGAGGGAGGATTCCACGTGCGATAACCACCATCATCCGGGTTGGCCACTGTGGCCGTCAGATCGGCTGCATATTCTGGGAGCTTGGATTTTGGAGCTTTCTTAAGCACTTTGATAAACAGAAGCTACTTTCAGCGACCTAATCACTGTACGAGGTGTAGATGAAAGCAGGAAAGAGAACTAAGCAAAAGAAAGATGGAAGTGGTGCTACACGGAGCTGTACGAGATAATCAGCTATCATACGATCTCTATTCTACTTGCTTTTCGATGGAGTTTGCGTTCGAGGTTGCAGTTGCAGGCCGAAGGAAAACGCTCTTGTGATTGAAAAAAAGAGGTGACGAGGGGAAGAGGGCGACCAAAGCAAGGGGGTAGACGACGATGCCGCGTGAGATTATCACCATCCAGGTGGGCCAGTGTGGCAATCAGATCGGCTGCAGGTTCTGGGAGCTTGCACTGAAGGAGCATTCTTGCTATAATCCAAGGGGATTGTTTGATGATGCGTTGAGCAGCTTCTTCCACAATGTGGACAGGCGGTTTGACCCACCGTTAGAGCTGCCTGTCGGTGACGGCAGAGGGATGATTCGTTTCCTGAAGGCAAGAGCAGTACTCATAGACATGGAAGAAGGTGTTGTTAAGGAGCTGCTGAAGGGCTCTCTAGGTGAGCTGTTTGACTCCCGTCAGTACATAACAGACATGTCGGGATCAGGAAACAACTGGGCCCATGGTCACGAGGTGTACGGGCCTCAATACAAAGACAGCATTCTGGAATCCGTTCGCAGGGAGGCAGAGGGGTGCGACTCCCTTCAGAGCTTCTTCATGCTGCATTCCCTCGGAGGAGGTACCGGCTCAGGCGTTGGCACGTACGTGATGGAGCAGCTTCACGACGAGTATCCAGAGGTCTACAGGTTCTCAGCCTGTGTCTTCCCTTCAGCAGATGATGACGTAGTCACGTCGCCTTACAATAGCATGCTTGCAGTCGCCTCCTTGGCAGAAAACACAGATTGCGTCTTACCCATTGAGAATCAAGCCCTCATCGAAATAACTCGCAACTACAGCAGCAGCAGCAGCAGCAGCAGCAGCAGCAGGACCAGCAGGGGTGGGTTGAACCCCTCTTGTCTTGCTGCAGCAGCTGCTGCAGGTGGACGGAGAGGGACAGGAAGACAAGGTGAACGAGGCGGAGGAGGATGTGCGCAGCGGACTGGTCATTCACCCTCAGCAATGGCAACTGGCAGAGGTGTGTATGCTGCCGGGTCTTCTTCTTTGCCGTCTTCCTTGCATGAGAATCGGTGTAGCCATGTTGATGGAAATCATGGTCACACCTCACAGAGGCAGATGGCAGGAGGGAAACCTTGGGATGATATGAATGGTGTGGCAGCCAGTCTACTTCTTGACCTTACGTGCTCCGTTCGATTCGAGGGTTCTCTGAATGTTGACATGAACGAGATCACCATGAATCTTGTTCCTTACCCTCGCCTTCACTTCTTGGTCTCCAGCATGTCCCCTCTTCTGGGAGGGCAAGCACCTCCATCCCCCTCTCTTCCTGCTTCTGCAGGTGCATTTGCTGCGGCTGGTAGAACTCAACCCTCGTTTTCTTCTTCTTCTTCTTCTTCGGCAAACTCCAAAGCCATCGACATTCTGTTCTCGGAGGTATTTTCTTGGAAGAATCAGCTGATCAAGGCCGACCCTTGCAGCTCCACATACCTCGCTTGCGCTCTGACATTGAGAGGCTCCCCTACGTCGTGTACCATCTCCGACATGAACAGGAACATTGCTCGCATCAAGAACCGCCTCAACATGGTCTATTGGAATGCACCTGAAGGTTTCAAGGTGGGGCTGTGCTCCAAGCCTCCTGTTGGATTGCCCTACTCTCTCCTTTGCCTGTGCAACAATTGCTGCGTCAGTGATACGTTCACCAACATCAAGGACCGTTTCAGCAAGCTTTTCAAGCGAGGCATGTTCCTCCATCATTACACTAAGTATATGGAACCTGCATCTTTTGAAGACAGCCTCGAAACCCTGGAAACCCTCATTGCCGATTACCAAAGCCTACAATGGGCTCAGCCTCCACCGACAGTGCCTCGCCTGCACCCCATTATCTCCACCTTCAAGTAACAGACAGGCTCGTTGGTGCAGGACGTCATCTTTTGACCCACAAGCCTGATTCCCACATCACAGTATAACTGTCCGTTTCATGTGATACGTAGTGCTGAAGGTTGCACTCCCATTTTTTTGGTCCATATCAATCAGTTCGCCAGGGTAATTACAAAATCTGTTCTTCAAGGGTTCAAGCTTAGTTCCTTCTTTGTTTGTTCGAGTTCATTATTCGACACTACCGTCTTCACCCGAATAGAACGCCTGGGTCATTACAGTTGTATTGGGCACAACTCTCAGCCCAGATACGGCGATAATTACCGGGCGTTTTATTCGGGTGAAGACGGTAGCATAGGTCACACTTATGCTGCCTCTAACAGTACCCCCTGGAAACCCCAGTATCCCCACTTTCAAGCAAGAGACAAGGGTCAGGAGTGCCAGAATCACACTGCATTCTTTCACTCAAGCCCAGCCCTCACACTCAACCTTCTCATGTGATGGGTGGTGCCACATGGTTGCAGTCCATGTTTTTGTCCGCTTGAGTTCACTGCAGTGTGACGTCACTGTGATTAGAATCTGTTCGATCCCAATTCAGTTTTTGTTCGCTTGAAATTTGAATTCATTTTGACTCTAGCCTGTATCAAGTTGAAGCTTCCGCGAACATATCTCACCTGCGACCAGCGTCATCAGTGGTAGATCAAATTGCGTTCTGTTACTCAAGTGAGACTCTTTTTTTATCAACTGTTCATGTGATAATAGGAGTCGCCGCTGCACGGTTCCACTCCATCGGTCCACTTTTTTATTTCATTTCCATTTGACTTCAATCTAGTTAGAATCTGTTCGAGCCTGCTTCATGTGATAACAGGTGACGCCCAACGAACGATGCACTCCGTTTGTTCGTTTGGGTTTCGATGTGACATCAATCTGATTGGAATCTCTTCAAGTGCAGTTCATGCAATAATAGGCGATGCCACATGGCTTCACTCCATTTGCTTGTCCATTTGAGTTAATTTCAGTGTGACTTCCAATCTAATTTTAATTCTGTTCAAGTCTGGTTCACACTTTGCTTGTTGGAGGTCGGTTGACTTTAGCCTAGATCGAATTTAAGTCTCGTGCAGGCTGCAACCGCATTATGTCCACTTCCGAGCAACAGACAGGGTCGTCAGTGGCAGGTCACACTTCCTTCTGTCACTCAAGTCAGATTCCCACACTCTTAACGTTTCATGTGATAGCAGGTGCCAAATGGCTGCACTCCTTTTTTTCTGCATTTGAGCTCAGCTCAGTCTAATCAAAGTCTGTTCAAACCCGGCTCATGCTTTGTTTGTTTGAGTTCATTTCATTTCAGCCTAGATATAAAGTTCAAGGTTCCACTAACAATACCTCACCTTCAAACCGTTATCTCTACTTGCAAGCAACAGACAGGGTTATTAGGGGCAGATCACACTGCATTTCTTGCATGCAGTGAAGAATCTTGTTCCAAACTGCAGCGGGTGATGCCACATGGCTGTCTTATTTCTAAAGTGAGTGGGCCGTGGCATTGTGGTATTCATTCAATCTGCATCCGTCAGATCCGAACTCATAATCTGCTTATTAACAGTTACATGTGTGAACCATTCGGCCACATGGGCTGGGTGGTTCATGCTTTTTGACTTTAGCCAAGGTCAGGTTTCAGACTCATAAAACATATTACCTGCCTCGTACCCACACCGGTCTTCCTTTGCTGTTGTGACCCAGCTGCCGCTTGCTTGTATTTCCAGCTCTTTGTAACTCATATGCAACTGCCTACTTACTCAGCCCTGCAGGGCAACTTGGTAAATCACCGAGAGTGGATTATGCCTAGGCGAGTGTCAGACATGGTTGCTGTTATTTTAAATTCCATGTGAAGAGCAGGGCAATTGGCTCACTCTTTTGAGATTCTGCATCCATGCACACGAGCGAGACAAAGACACCCATGTGCGCACACACACACACACAAACACACACACACACACACACACCTGTCTCTTATACACATCTAGATGTGCACACACACACACACACACACACACACACACACACACACACACACACACACACAGAGAGAGAGAGAGAGAGAGAGAGAGAGAGAGAGAGAGAGAGAGAGAGAGAGAGAGAGAGAGAGAGAGAGAGAGAGAGAGAGAAGAGCTACCATGTCCTTGAAGTTCCTTCTTTTTCACTCTCTCCCGCTCACTCCCTCTCTCTCTGCTCTGCGGTCAGATGGACGGAAACATGGAGACCCAGGCATGCAGGGAAACAATGGAATGATCACACACACTTTGAAGGCCTCAAACCATGACCAAAGTGTATGCATCTTCGGCAATTTTATTTCATCATCATCATCATCATCATCATCATCATCATCATCATCATCATCGATTCATCATCATCTACCAATCTGAATCTTTATCATCATCATCATCCTCCTCCTCCTCCTCCTCCTCCTCATCATCATCACCATCATCATCATCATCATCATCACGGTTTCTTTATTCATTTTTTCATCAATCAGTAGTTATCTCTGTGTTGGTGGTTATATTCTCATCTCCCAGATAGGCTATGGTCTAGTTGGTAGGTAGGTTGGTCAGGAAGGGAGCGCTACTCCGCAGGGGTAACACAAGGTGGGAGGTGATTGCTCTCCAGGGAGTAGACGCAGATGATGGGAGCTGACCTGGGCTGGGGCTGGGAGATATGTATGGGGGCACATTATCTCCTGGCGGAGGCAGACTAGGTCAGAGTGTTAGTTTTGAGGTACACCTTTTGGGGGAACTGGTTACCTCAAGGTAGAAGGGAATGGGGAGGTTCTCTCTCTCGTTGGGGCTGATAGGAACTTCATGCTGATAGCGGTGTTGGGCTCAGCGGACGCAGCGAGAGGAGAAGAGGAAATGAGGGGAGAGGAGGAGAATACATGGAAGGGGAGGAGTGGAGAGAAGAAATAATCATCAGCGTCGTCATCATTATCCATCATCTTTGTGATCATCTCAGGGTACTCGTCAAATTTCGTCATCAGAAAGTTTTGCTGATCAGGATTCTGATATTATCAGATCCTTGATGTCTGGTTGGCATTCTGGATTAGCTAATTTCCTAATTGAGTCTTCTTGTGTAATGGCCAGGTTGAGTTGGCGCCAGAACGACGCTAGCCGGCGCTGGGGCAGTGCCCTGTAACCTGCTTGCGTAGGAGCTTGAGGCTTTGTATAGAGGTCTGGAATTGCCGGGGGAGGAAGGCAATCTGCAAACTTGACTAATGGCTACAATCTGGCCGACGATGGTCGGAGCTGGGGTGGGTAGCGCTGCCCTGTAACCGAGCCACATTGGGGTGTGGGACCGAGAAGAGGCCTGATTGGTGCACAGCACGGGCTCAATTGTGATTGGTTGTTTGGAATGGATACAGGAAATTAGGGATAGGATAGTAATTCAGTGCTGAGTAGACAATCTTTCTGAYYAGTCATCATCTAGCTCTATTTCATGACCTCAATCACCCACTCTGACATCCTAAATCATCCAAAATGATCCTCAATCATCCCAAATTTTCATCAATTGTCAATCATCAATGTCTTCCCATTATAAGGGATGCTGGGCCCGGTTCCCAGCACGTGATGCTCCCCACGAATAGATTGGTGCAATATATATAAAAAAAAAAGACTTCGTATCATTTTGATTCTTTTGACCATGCCAGCAAAACTCTGGAAAGAAGGAAAAATTATCTGTATGCTGTTAGATCGTCATGAAATGCCCCAATTGCATAATAAGGAGCTGGCAGCAAATCCATGGGCTTGGCTTTGGGATCAATCACCCTGACGTTTGATTAAAGATTCAGCTCTCCAACAAATCCATGAGGCAAACTCTCATCCTTCTCTCTATCCAAGATTTATGCCTCCATCTAGCATATTGATGGCATACCTAGATTCCTAGGCAGCTGAAAGATTGGTCTTAAAAAAAGTCCTTTCTGATGTTTCAGAGTACTGGCTGACCCATTCTGGCCCCCTTGATGCCTTTCAAGGGGGAGTAGGGTCAGGGGACGAATGGGTATCAGGGTAGGGGTTGAGTACCTAATTGATGGACGGATTTGCAACTTGGTGGGGGGAGAAGTGTGCACATTTCATCTCATGCTTACAGCCCAGATCCTATCTCCCCCCCACGTTCTTCACTATTCCTCCTCAAATCTTTGAGGCTCCTTTTCCCTCTTCTCCCCTTGATGAGATGGGGGTTAATCAAGGGTGACGGGAGGGGGCTGGGCGGGGAGGAGGCAGAGAGCATGTGCGTATACACGTAAAATCTGTCGTTGCCCCCAATCTTCTCCCATAGATGCATGTCAGGAGGAAGTCGGGGTTAAGCAAGGGTGCCAGGTGGGTGGGGTGGGAGTTACAGAGGAGACAGAGAGCATGTGCATATACATGTAAGATCTGTCATCATCCCCTATCTTCTCCCATATATGCATCTGAGGAGGAGGCAGATCACTTGACCCCCCGCAAGAGGGGTCAAAACAGAGGAAGGAGAGGTGAATGAACTGCACACCATCCCAATTGCCACCCACCCACTCTTCCTTCATCCTACCTCTTCTTATGCCACCTCTCAGATTCTTCCTCCCTTCCACCTCTTCTGACCTGTTCTCCCCTTGATGCTTTTTTAAGGGGGCGAGGAGAAGGGAAAGGGTGGATGCAAACACACCCTCACCCCCCTCCCCCAACCCACCTTATTTGGGATCTGCCACTCGCCTTCTTCTCTCCTATAAATGCATGTCAATGGGAAGGTTTGGAATGAAGTAGAGGAACCAGAGGCGCATGCGTAGATGTACATCGAGAGGGAGAGTTGAGACTAAGGAGTGTGAATTACATACCACTCCAAGACCCCCCACTCAAATCAGCCTCTTTCCTCACATGTTTACAACTTCCTCTGCCCTCCTATTGGATATTATTTATGGCAGAGGGTGAATGCACTATAGTGCAGGGAGAAGGTGCGAGCATGTGAAACCCGACCACCCCTTTTTGGGTCTCCGTCAACCCTAGTCTTATTCTCCTGCATGTGTCTGCGGGTTGGGTTATAAGGGTTCCAACTGAAGTATACAATCCTTTTTTTTTTTTTTTTTTTTCACATGCAT